CCGTAACCGGTTCTGCGTTTTGTCATTCCATTTGCTCCCGGGATGGGTGTTGGCAGAAGAGGGTCGTGCTGAGCGGAAGTAAGTGCCTGCGGTGCCCCCGCCTCTGTGTGCGCTGTCCCTCCTCCTGCCGCCCGTGCGGGCCTCTCTCTGCTCTGACCACACGCCCAGGAGAGCCGGGGTGTCCAGGAGCCGGGGTGTCCGGGAGCTGGGGCGCTGACACCGTCCTCCGGCTCAGAGACCCCACGGGCAGGTGCCACCCGGGATTTGAGCCGTCGCTGTCACCCTGAGGGTCACGGGCACGGTCACGGTGAGGGAGCACGCAAGTGTCCCCCCGAGGCACCGCTCACCCGAGCGAGTGACCCCACAGCGTGTCACCTCCACACAGCGCCTCTGCCCCCGAGGCACTGGCTTTATTCAGCATCTGAGCTCACCGTGTCCACGTGGCACCTGGGAGCCTTCCCCGCACAGGTGTCCCCGAGCTGAGGGGGGCGGGGAGGCCATCGGGAAGGGCGTCCCACAGCACCCCACCCCCACCCCCCGTCTGAGCTGTGGCCCCGCCTGGGACCGGCGTGGGTCTTGGTCCTTCTGGGGCAGAGGACAGACCCCGAAACCCCTCCGGGCCTGTGAGCCCCCGAGTAGCGGTGGGGCTTCCGCGTGCGGACGGGGGCCAGCCCGCGGGGCCTCCCCTGTGCTGGTCCTTTCAGCCCAAAAGCTGGAGGCCTGTCGGCGGGTGTGAGCATTGGCCCAGGAGCAGGAGGTCACGGTTCGATTCCCGGTCAGGGCACATGCCCGCTGCAGTGTGGGGCGTGCGGTGGCGGCGATCAATGGTTCTCTCGTCATTGATGTTTCTCTCTCTCCCTCTCCCTTCCTCTGAAATCAAAGAAACGTAAAAAAACGAAGGCCTGACAGGCATGGGGAGGGTGCTCTTCCTTCTGTTTGCTGTGCTGAGGCCCAGACTGTCACCTCCCCAGCAGTGTCCCCGGCACCACAGTCCCGGCCGGGGGCAGGCTGCGTCCTGGCCGGCTGCCCTCACTGCCCGCATGCTCACCCAGCCCAGGCCTCCATCAGTAAAAAAAATGCCCCTGTCCCCCTGCAGCGACCCTGGCATGGCAAACCCGTGCTCCCTGGGCTCCATGCTCTCGTGTGACCTGGGTGTCTGCCGCCCCCTCCTGGCCGCCTGCTGACGCGCGGCGACCCGGCTGTGACACTCCCTCTCTCGTTGCTGTTTCAGAAGCCCAGAGGTCGTGAGCACCGTCTCAGGGACACGGAGCACGACCGTCACCTTCACCGTCCGCCCCGGGACCTCGCAGCCCATCACCCTGCAGAGCCGGCCCCCGGACTACGACAGCCGGACCTCAGGAACCAGACGTGCCCCCAGCCCCGTGGTCTCGCCCACGGAGATGAGCAGAGA